CGCCTGCCTGTCCAGGTTGAGGAAGATGACGCTCTGCGAGTCGTCGATCAGCGCCCGCAGCTCACGGGCTGCGTGCGCCAGGTCCTCGGCCAGCCGGTGGCAGTTCTCCAGCAGCAGCTCCATCTCCTCCGCGTGGTCGATGCCCGCGCTGCTCTGCTCACTCCAATCACAAGCGCCACGTAAGCAGCGCCCACGCGCCACACACCCAACCCCCGCGTGAGCACATGACGCCGCTCCCAGTGAGCCCACTCGCCTGCCCTGTCTGTCACGGCCCGTCTGAGGGCCATCCCCTGACCCCGAGCACCACACAGGAAGTCCCCGCACAGGCCCTGCTGCACAGGGAGGGAGCCCCACTACCCGTGACAGCGACATCCAGACGTGTGACGCGGACGGACTGGTACAAGTTAGTACAAACCAGTGAACCAAAACCATAGGCCGAACACGAAGGCACAGAGATTCCCTGCCCCAGGGCCTGGCCCCGCACAGAGCGATGTGATGAGGATGCGACACAGCAGTCCACCCCCAGGAGGCGGGCAGAGCTCCACCACCCACCTACCGCCCCGCAGAGGGGACCCGCCCAGGACACAAGCGAAGGGCGACAGCGTGTCCCCGTTTCTGCTGCTAGGCCTTGCTGGGCCCAGCTCTTGTCATCTCAGCTTCCTTATGGAAGAGAGGTGACGCTTAAGCCTGCAGACCGTCCTCTGTGCACATTAAGCGTCTGTGTGAGTTTCTGACCCTGGTCTACAGACGACAGTGGAACACCGAGTGCATGAGCCCCAAGCTCCGAGCCCGAAGGCCCCGAGGGAGGCCCAGTGCCCCCGAGGGAGGCCCAGTGCCCCCAGTTTCTGACCCTGGTCTACAGACGACAGTGGAACACCAAGTGCATGAGCCCCAAGCTCCGAGCCCGAGGGCTCCGAGGGAGGGCCCAGTGCCCCTGAGGGAGGACCAGTGCCCCCGAGGGAGGCTAAGTGCCCCGAGAAGAGGAGCTTGGCCTGGGAGTCCGGGGCAGGAAGGCCACTCACAAGACCTCGGGGTCGCTCCACTTGCTGAGGCAGAGCTCCTCCAGCCGCTCCTCGTCGTCCAGGATCTCCAGGATTGCCTCCTTGAACATCCGAACGTCCGTCTCCAGCTCGGACAGGCTGGAAGGGCAGGTGCACAGGCGTGATGGCGCCATGGACTACGGACCCGTGTCCCCATGGGGACAGTGCCCCCCTCGCACACAGGCGGTGGACAGGGATGTGTCAGCGGTGCTCTGCCGTCTACACGCAGACCAAGAACTGAGCCCCCAAGCAGGGCCCGGACAGAGCCGAACGCAGCCTTCCTGCCCCGTCACCCTTCCCTCCACTCGGCGCCCCGACAGGAAGTCACCACCAGCAGCAGCACTCGCTGGCACTTTAAAGACCAGTGATGACCCCACGGATTCTGTGTCTGGGCTGATGCTACACACGCCACTGAACCAGGACAGGGAAGGGCCGGACACCTGCTCACCTTTTGCCATTTTGCAGCAGGATGTGCAGTTTGCTTCTGTCCACAGAGGAGTGTTTGGGGTCCACTAACGCCTCCAGCGTGTCGAGGATCCGGGGCTCCAGCAGGCGCAGCTTCCCCTGCAGCTTGCTGATCTAGAGCAACATGACCTCGCGTGAGGATCCAGCCTTTTCAGAATGCTCAGGGCCAGGGAACCCTGGGATCAGACACCACCTGGAACAGCTGGGGCAGCGGGTAACGCTGCAGAGTGCGGCCTGCAGGCACGGCTGTCCCAGGCGGCCCTAACACCGTCTGTTGGGGACAGAGGACCAGGCACATGCTGTTACCAGGCTCGCACCTGAGGGGGGACTAACTCCTGTCACGAAAGGAGGGAGGATCGATTAAGTGGAAGGAAATCCGCCCTTCCGTGGTTACAACTCGAACTTCCATTTGGCAAATACTTCTGCTCTTTGTAAACAGAGTACAGTCCAAACTCCTATGAACAAAACTCTTTGAAAACTAAAACATAACTTGGACTTAAAAATAAATCGGTGTGAAGTCAGAAGTGCTGTTCTTATTCAGGCCCCGCGGCATGGCGGGCGCCCGGCGGGTGCGCAGAGACAGCTGTGCCAGCGGCTAGGGCGCTGGGACCCACCCCTGCAGCGGGAACAGCAGTGAGACTGACGGCACACATTCCAGCAGATGCACCTCCCGCCGGGCAGCTGTGCCCATCCTCGGCAGCTCCTCTCCCTGCCCTCGCCTGCGCTGTCCTGGCCTGCTAACGTGTCTTCCTCCTCGACAGCATGTGGACCAGGACCAATGCAGGCAGCTGCACGGACGGGCTTACCCGGTACTGCAGGAGTGCTTCCATGGCTCTGAACTCAAAGGGCAGAGGGTACGTGACCAGCTGGCCCTCTCCGGCCAGCTGCGCGGGGAGCTCCCGGAACAGCCACTGCTCCAGGTTTAAGTGACGATAATCCAGGATCAGGAGACACTCGGGGGTGATCACCGCTTTCAGGTACTGCGGGGAAAGAGGGTGTGACAGCAAATTATGCTAGAAGAGCAACACAGGAAGGAGCCTGTGCCACTGTCAGTGATATAAAGCCTAGAGGGTGGTTTCTTTACACCTTTTCCAACATTTTATGAAAATTTTTATACAGAAAAAGTATACAGTGAACACCCACGTACATGCCATCTACACAATTAAATGTCGGCTGACTTTGTTTTGCCACATGCTTCCCTAATCGTGTCTCAGAGCTGCGTTTGTTCCAGAATCACTTTAACCCGTGGCTGACGGCGCGGGGAGGGACCCTCACCTCCATTCTCAGGATGATCCTGTTGTTTCTGGTGGTGATGCTCATGAGGTGCTGGAACCGCAGATCTCTGGCCTGAAGGCCTAATTCTTGATATAAGTCCGTTTTCTTCCTTTCTGAAAAAGAAATGTTTTCAAGAAAAAAAAGTGGCTGGTCTAATCCAGCAAAGAGCTTAGTCTTCATATCAGAGCACCCTCCCACCACCATCAAGATAGTTTTGTTATTACCAGAAACCAAAGATAACAGGAGTGTTTTAAATGCCTGTTTTTACCTCAAGGACACACTCAGGCTAAAGCTAGTCTGACTCTAGTATTCTTCCTCCTCCTTCCCCCCTTATGAAGTCTCTCTGGCGCAGGCGCTCCCGGGGGCGGAAATAAAACCACGCGCGCCTGTCAGAGGGGCTCAGCCTCGTCCGGCGCTAGCACGGCACCTTTGTTTAGCAGGACCTGCATGCTCTGTTTTCTCACTCCCCCTTATCACCTTCGATATTTTAAATCTGGGAAGAGAGGTTCAATTTTCTTTCTTCTTGGACTAACACAAAACGAGAAAAAGTCCGTCCTCAGACTAGACTCTCTGCCTGAAAACTCAATTTATTCCCCAAGAGGAAGCAGAGTGGGTGACAAGTCCCAAGCAGTGGTACTGGCGACACTACTGTCTGCACCTGTCCAGTCGAACCACAGGTGTGGCAGCGCTCCAGGCAGAACAGCCTTCGAAGAAGCTACTGAGCAAAAACACCGAAATGTTCCCGAGGACCTCAGCAACAGCAGGAGGGGGTCATGGGAGGGGGTCACAGGAGGGGGTCACAGGAGGGGTGCGTGGGAGACCCGAGCCTGCCTCCGAGGTGAGACCGTGAAGGGATCTGTTTCACTTTAGAAACAGAGTGACCAGCAGAGCCCAGCGCCCACCCGCCCCTCGTCGCCTGTCACCCACTGTTGGTGGAGGTCCGTGACTCCGCCTCTCCCAGAACGCAGGGGGCATGGCTGCGGACCAGGAGTGAAGAAGAGATGAGAGAAGAGTGTTTCTGTGCCTTTAACGTCTGGACAGAGCATGAGTGGCCCTGAGGACAGTCCAGGCACCGCAGCCCCAATGAGGACTGATGGACACGCTGCACAAAGACCGCTCCCTGCACGCACCCATCCACGCTAAGGGTGCTCCGTTCACAGCACCGCCTGCCATTCCTTGATTTCCGTCAGACTCACGCTTTCAGTGATTAAAAAGAGACAATGCAGAAGAAACTTGAAGATACTCACCAAAAGACGTCACATTTCCTCCTTTGTCAAATTTTGTCTGAAGAGAGATAATAAAAACAAAATATTTTTTCTCCCAAATCAGTAAACTCTCTGGTATCATACCATATGGTACTATGATATCCCACAAACACTGAAATACACATGGAAACCCCACTGCCCTTGTTTGGGTTAAAGTCGGTTCTGAGTGAAGGGTTAAAACTCCCGTTTCCTTTGCTGGACAAGCTGACCTGGGCTCTGGAGTCGGCAGTGAAGTCCCACTGGCTGAGCACAGCCCCAGGACCAGAGACGACGCAGGAGAAGCGCTCTCTGCAAGTTATCGGGCGCCCGGCACGTACTCACCACAGTAAACACGGGGGCTACGCTGGCGAGCGTGGCCTGAGTGACATCGGACGTTCTCAGCAGGTGCATTTCACCTGAAGAATGAATGAGAGAATTCCATCAGCACACGACTGGCTGTCACGTGTGGCCTAGAGACAACTCTCAGAGAACGTGGTCTGCAGACTATTCTGCTATTTTTTAAAATCTTTTCCTGGAGGAGAAGAAACACTCATGTGTGCAGTTTGCAGGTGCTTATGTTCGTTTTAACGGGGAAAGGTTTTAAGACGGCTTCGGTGAGGCAGAATTATGGTGGATTCCCACCACCGTCCTTCCTAATCACCTCAGAGCTGGATGAACAAATGTTCAACGCGGTGTTGAGACGAAAAGGAAAGGCCCATCTTTTCTGCATAATTTAAAAGGCTCCTCGTGCGCATGGTGTCAGCAGCAAACTCCGGCGTTAACCTATGCCGCCATCTTGGTTTCCCCCTCTTCTGCATAATTTAAAAGGCTCCTCATGCGCATGGTGTCGGGAGGTGTATTTTAGGAAGCAGGTCCCAAGTGCCCCGGACCTCTCGGCATTCCAAGACCAGGGTGGATTGCTTGACCTACACACTAGGAAACCTACAGACCTGACTTCCTTGTATTAACTTCTTGTCCACAGACACACTTTATTGTTGCTACGTGCAAAATACCAACGGGACTGGAATGAAGGCAACGCTACTTGAAAATCACTTTAAACCGTGTGACTGGACTGCGCTGACGGGAGCTCTGAAGTCTCGCCAGGTCCATTCAGCATCTAACAAAAAGCACTGTTCAAAGCCATGGACCCGAGGGGAGCGGGGGAGGTGGGAAAACACTTCCCATTATCCGATGCTTCCGAAGCGGACGCTCAGCTCTGATCCCCTCCTCCCACTTACACGCGGTCTACAAGGTCTACAATATACGATGCTGTCGTTTCTCAGCCCCCAGGCCTGTTGTTACCCATTTCTGGACCCGAGGGGAGCGGGGGAGGTGGGAAAACACTTCCCATTATCCGATGCTTCCCAAGCGGACGCTCAGCTCTGATCCCCTCCTCCCACTTACACGCGGTTTACGGTCTACGATGCTGTCCTTTCTCAGCCCCCAGGCCTGTTGTTACCCATTTGCAAAGTGCAGACCGAATTTTAAGGGTCAGCATTTCCCAGGGCGGAGATTCTGCATCTCAGTGTTTGCCCTAGAACACCAGACGGGCCTGGCTGCTTTGGCTCAGTGCTCAGAGGTGGGCCTGCAGGCCGGACGGGGGTTCAAGTCCCAGTCAAGTGCAGGGACCTCAGCTGTAGGTTCCCCAGCCCTGGGAGGGGTGCGAGCAAGAGGCAAACAATCGATGTCTCTCCCCCCCCCC